AATTTTATTTTTAAAAAAAAAAAAAAAAAAAAAAAAAAAAAATCCAATGTGGCTATTACAAAAAATTCATATAAATAATTTTTTTCGTATATTATAAAAAATAAGATATTATTGTAGCAAGTATCATTGATAAAAATAATTTTTTTAAATGATTAAAAAAAAAACTTCGACAGTAAAACCTAATTTATTGGATTGAGTCACTAACCCAATTAATCTGAAGTCGTACCAACTAAATTATATTATACGTTAAATGGTTTTAATTTTTTTTAGGAATATTACTATTGTTTTAATAGTGAAATAGTACATACTAAATTATTATAATTCCCAACTTACCATTTTTTAAAACCTCTATTTTTAGGAAAATAATAGAAATAGTATATTAAAAATGAAAATTGTTATGGAAGGTAATTATATTTATTTTATATTTTATAATAAACGATTATTGAAAAAAATATGTGGCTTATGTAAAATAAAATACACCACTAAAAAACAAAACAAAAATTTGAAGATTACGAAAAGGGTATTATCGTAAAATACTAAATCATCCGAATTAATTCAGCTCCGCCTCAAAGCCGGAAGAATCGGCGCGGAAAATCCCGATGTAATATAACATAATAAATTCTTTTATTTTTTTAAAAAATATTTTGGAAAGAAAATGTTCGAATAATTCAACTTTGTTCCGCCAGGACTCTGCTCGTCTGTCGGGTGCCGGGGAAACGAAGTCCCTTGTGCCATCTTGGCGGCGGTTTCTCTTCGGTTCCGGCGAATTGAAATGACTCTGCAATGACCCAGAATCGATTATTCCGGACGCGTAATTCTAAACCTGACGAAGAAGCAGAATCCGCCACAAGCTGTGGTGGAAGAGCCGCCATGAGAGTCGTAGTACCTCTGCAAAGCGTCGTTCAAGGAAGAGGCGGTGTTGTTTTGGGCTCTGTTATACCGTGCGTTCTTTTCTACTTTCTTCAACTCTACTTGAAACGAAATCGGTCAGACCAGACCCGGGACTCGCCGCCGTCGCCGGATGCGGATTCTTCGGGGAACTCATCGCTGTCGTCGAGTAATCAGTTAGTGGAGCTCACTGTGCTGCCTCGAACATTGTCTCGGACCTTCCTCTCGCCGAGGTCGAGCGGGCATGTTTGCGTTTCGGGTCGGGCTAATTCGATTGCTAGAATTGGGGATTCTTCGATTTTCGTTGGAATGAGGAGGTTCTTGGAGGACTCATTTGACGAATTCGATAATCCGACAGGGATTATTCAGCTATCTGTTGCTGAGAATAAGGTGGGTGGCTTTATGCTTTTTTGTTGGTTTGAATATGTGTCAGCAAGATTAGTGTTCTTTATTTCTGGGTTTCTGTGTTGATGATTGTGGATGTTTAATTAAACGATGAAGTTATCCTCCGACTTGGTGCAAAATTGGCTGACGGAGAATGGAAGGGATGCTATATTTGGAGGAGGGAATCATAATGAGCTGAGTGTAGCAGGGACTGTTAGTTACCAGCCTTCAGATGGATTGCCGGATTTGAAACTGGTAATTAAATTTTTGTCTTCTCTCTGTGATTAATGTTTTGAATTAGCTGCGTTTCCACTTGCCTGTATGAATTCATTTTTGACATGGAGAGATTTAGTAGCTGAAGAAGTTTGACTGGCTCTGTTTTTATTCATTACTGATTATTGTTCTTAGTATGATTTATGAATGGCTTTTGGAAACTGGAGAAACTGTTCTTTGTTGTGTTTAGATATTGAATTCTATCCGAACAATTTAAAGTAAAACTCTGTTGAATCAACCTTGGAACACCATTGTGAAAGTTATACTGAATGAAGTGGTGAGGTTTCAATAGATGAAGAGTATAATGGTAAACATGGTGTATTGTTGTAACAACCCAAGCCCACCGCTACCAGATATTGTCCTCTTTGGATTTTTCTTTTCGGGCTTTCTCTCAAGGTTTTTAAAACGCGTTTGTTAGAGAGAGGTTTCCACACCCTTAAAAAGAATGCTTCGTTCTCCTCTCCAACAGACGTGGGATCTCACAATTCACCCCTTTTCGGAGCCCCAATGTCCTCGCTGGCACTCATTCTCTTCTCCAATCGATGTGGGACCCCTTAATCCACCCCTTTTGGGGTCTAGCGTCCTTGTTGGCATACTGTCTCGTGTTCACTCCCCTTCGGGGCTCAACCTCCTCGTTGGCACATCTCTCGGTGTCTGGCTCTGATCCTATTTGTAACAACCCAAGCCCACCGTGGGCAGATATTTCCCTCTTTGGGCTTTCTCTTTTGGGTTTCCTTTCAAGGTTTTTAAAACGTGTCTGCTAGGGAGAGGTTTCCACACCCTTATAAAAATGTTTCATTCTCCTCCCCAAGTGATATAGGATCTCACAATTGTATTCAATTGAGTGCCACCTTTGAGTTAGGACCTTTCATTTCCTATAAGGAAATTATGAATACTTTTCAAACGCTCCTCCGATGTTAATGTTTGATCCAGATATTTATATCTGCTGAAAGCATTCCCTTTTTCATATTAATAACTTTACTGTTAGCTTTGTTACCTTTTCTTTGTTAACCTGTTAGAGAAGATGTTAGAACTTCCTCCATAACTTGTAGGCAATGCTATTTTTATTACTTATCCGCCCCACCCCCACCCAACTCCTCATTGGAGTTATGCTAGTACCAGTACCTCTTGTTTTTTGTATTGCATTTGCTTGGTGAGTACCATATGGAGCTCCTTATAATGGAAGATTTGATTGGTGAGTACCACAGGCTGTGGCAAGTTTCATGTCTCAAGTTGTAGGGAACTCTGTCTCATTCATCCCTTCACAATTAGTATTAACAACTGGAGTGACCTCTGCAATTGAAACACTTTGCTTTTGCATAGCTGACCCAGGACAAGCGTTTCTCGTTCCAACGCCATATTACCCGGGGTACTTGTTCATCCTCTATCATGAAATGTTTTTATAGTTTTATCTGCAAAACTTATATTCTAAATCACAAACGCAGTCTTGACAACGATGTAAAGTGTCGAACTGGGGTGGAGATCGTACCAGTTCCATGCTGCAGTGCCGATAACTTCAGTTTAAGCACAACTTCTCTTGATCGAGCGTTCCACCAGGCAAGGAATCGCGGCCTTAAAGTTCGTGGAATTATAATCTCAAATCCTTCAATTCCAGTTGGAAACCAGCTACAAAGAGAAACACTCTACAACCTTTTGGAGTTTGCTAGGGAGAAAAACATCCATATAATATCAAATGAAATACTTGTAGGATCAACTTATGGAAGTGAAGAATTCGTGAGCATGGCTGAAATGATCGACTTAGACGATAGCGATCAAGACAGAGTACATATTACATATGATCTATCTGTAGACATGTCACTTCCTGGTTTCAGAGTTGCTGCAATCTACTCTTCGAACGAAAATATCCTGGCTGCTGGTAGAAAACTGGCAAGGTTCTCATCTGTTTCTTCCATAACCCAGAACCTCCTTTCTTCTATGCTCTCAGATAAGCAATTCATCCAGAGGTTCATTCGGATCAGTCGAGAGAGGCTTGGAGAAATGAATCGTAAATTTGCTGCAGGCCTGAAGGAACTCGACATCAAATGTATCAAGAGCAATGGAGGTTTCTACTGCTGGGCAGATATGAGCAAGCTAATCGGCTCGTACAGCGAGAAAGCCGAACTTGAGCTCTGGGAAAAGCTGTTGGATATAGGTAAAGTTAATCTTACCCCTGGCTCTAGCTGTAGTTGTGTTGAACCAGGATGGTTTGGATTCTGTTTTACAACTTTGATTGATAAAGAAATACCTATCATTATGGACCGAATTCGAAAAATTTCCGAAGCATGTAAATCTTATACTTGAACTGTTATTATTTTTCGTTCTTAGCTTCCATAGTTTTCTATAGTAGATCTGGATATTTCTGAACCTTCCTCAGTTGATATCATGTTGTGGACTAAACTTGAGTTCTTTCTTCTCGAAACGACTTCGGTTGTTTCGACCATGTTTAGCTAAGACTCTTAAATCTACCCCAAGTAGAGAATCGCCCAAATTGATGAACAAAATTATGTTATATGGAGTACTGTTTTTCATTTTTTGATGGAAAGTAAAGGTACTAAAGCAATGAAACAAGCAAGACTAGCAACCCTGATGATAATCAACCATGTCAAGCTCTTATGATTCTCATCATTTTCTCTGATTCAAATGTGGGAATTTTTTCTGAAACTCAGTCATTAAAGCTATGTTCTCTTGATGAAGGATATTGGCTTTCTCTCTCAGCTTATCATTCTCTTTGATTATGGTCTGATTCTTCATATATAGCTGCAGATTCTTCAGCTCAATGTCTTTCCCCAGCTTCTCTTCACATCTCCTCCTGCTAAACACAAAAACAAAACCCCATCACTTTCAAATGAATCAAAAGGCCCCCAAAACATAAAAGAAGTGAAATGGGTTCTGTAAGAAAGCAACCTGGTAAGCCTTAGAACTTGAAGTTTGGATCTTTTTGATCGTCTCCTGTTCTTGGAAGTCTGAATTTGATGGAACAGAATACTCTGCGTTGCACTGATGCACATTATTCTTCTATGCAGCTTCTTAACTTTTGCCCTTCCTTTCTAGTTGAATAATGCAAGGAAGTTGCAGGGGAAACAGTAGGACTAAAGCCAATACTTATATAGACTGTGTGTAGACTCACGGGACACAGTATAACATCCCAAGCTCACTGCTAGTAGATATTGTCGGTTTTGGCTTGTTACGTATCGCCGTCAGTTTCATGGTTTTAAAACGTGTCTACAAGGGAGAGGAAGAAATGTTTTGTTCCCCTTTCCAATCGATGTGGGATCTCACAATCCACCCACTAGCACACTGCTCGGTGTCTGCTCTAATACCATTTGTAACAACCCAAACTCACAACTAGTAGATGTCCGCTTTGGCCTGTTACGTATTGCCATCAGATTCATGGTGTAAAATGGATCTACTAGGTAGATGAAGAAATGTTTCGTTCCCCTATTCAACCGATGAGGGATCTCACATAGAATAAGAGAGATAGAGAAAGCAAATTGTTCTAATAATGTGCTGGTGGACTTCTGATTAAGCATTCTTTATATAGGCTTAAATCCTTGGACATTGTTGATAACTAGTGACTTGTGACACTGCCCTATAATAATGGAGTTCCCAACAACAAAGCTAGTCTTAGTAGTCGGTTCTTTTATGTGCCTTTTTACCTTAAGCATCCATTAATAGAGCTCCCAATAACAAAGTTAATCTTAATCGTCGGTTCTTTCATGTGCCTCTTTACCTTAAGTATCTATTAGACGAGATGCTTAAAAGATGGACCCGAGCACGCCTTCATAATTTTGGTTTTGAATATGAAATTGGGAAGAGTCAAATGGAACATTGAGGACGTTGAGGTGAGCCCATACTGAGGGGTTAATGTGTTTGACACACTGTGAATGAAGGTATGATGCTAATTTGTATACTTGTGTGTGACTGTATTTGCAATGAGCCTTCTTTTGTCCTTCCACATTACCAAAGCTCATGATGATGCTCCTCTCTCTATTTCTTCTTCCATTTCAATCATACCCTCCTTTTCTCCCACTTTCTTTCCATTTCCTTCTCTCGGTGCGTTAATAATCGTTGATAATCGAGAGAGATCTCCGAGAGAGATCTCCAATCATCCATCTTGTTAAGAATAAGGTATTCATATGATTTGAGAATTTGACTAATCTGACTATTCAATCCAAATCATAAAACTTCTCCCACGTAGGATCTCACAATCCACATTCCTTTAGAGTCCAACAGCCTTGCTAGTACATCGTTCAATGTACTCTGATACCATTTGTAATAGTCCAAGCCCACCGTTAGCCGATATTGTCTTCTTTAGACTTTTCCTTTTCAGTTTCCTCTTAGAGGTTGTAAAACGTGTGTGTTAGGGAGAGGTTTCCACACCCTTATAAAAAAATGTTTTGTTCTCCTCTCCAACCGATGTGAAATCTCACCGTGTGAACTCTATTCGAGTGAGTCTAGTCACCAACTCAACTGAATCAAAATTTTAGGTTGGTCCAAAAATATTTTAACTCAACTAGTGTACCTCTAGTAAAAATAGTATATTTTATGTGTGATTTTTCATGGAGATTGTTTTTTTTTTTTTTTTTTTTTTTTTTTTTTTTTTTTTTTTTTTTTTTTTTTTTTTTTTTTTTTTTT